ATATATATATATATATATACACATATATACGTATATTCATTTCATTTATAAACAAAACATCGTAAGATTAATTTATTAAATTTTTCATTTCCGATTAATATTATATTATTAATCTAAAATAAGTTAAAATAAGTTCATGAAATGTTGCATAATATTAATATTATGATCTTTTTCTTCTTTATCTAAACAAAATAAAATGAAATTGTTCATTTAAATGCATTAAAGCGTAACATACGCCTGCGCAATTAACACACAATGATTAAGCGCGTATTACAAACACTGTATGTTACGCATGTTCTTTTTCGATAAAAAAAAAAATGATGAAATCGATTAAAAATAGTGGGAACGATATTTGAAATAAAATACTAATAAATAAAATACTACTAATAATAAGAATAAGAATGATAAATAGAAACGAATAATGGAGATTAAACATGTAAACAAATTTTTAGGAAAATTACGTTCAAATGGAATGTGCGGTGAATAGGTTAAAAAGCACAGTTCAAAGAATTGTAGAAGGTGGAAAACAAAAGGCGAAAGAGAGGCATATGAAAAAAGGAAAACTTCTAGCACGAGAACGAATTAATACGCTTCTCGATCCGACATCTCCTTTCCTCGAATTTTCTCAATTAGCTGGTTACGAATTATACGATAAAGAGGAAGTACCAGCCGGTGGAATTATTACCGGTATCGGCAGGATAGAAGGGTAAGTACCGTTTGAATAAAAAAATGACTCGATAAAATATATATTTTTTTTTAAAGAATACGTTTCGTTTCGAATCAGGACCGAATGCGTAATAATCGCAAATGATGCAACTGTAAAAGGAGGTTCTTATTATCCAATAACGGTAAAGAAGCAATTAAGGGCTCAAGAAATTGCGGAGGAGAATCATTTACCTTGTATATATTTAGTAGATAGCGGTGGTGCCAATTTAACTAAACAAGCTGAAATATTTGCGGATAAAATGCATTTCGGTAGAACTTTCTTTAATCAGGCAAGAATGAGCGCAAAAGGAATCGCGCAGATCGCAGTAGTAATGGGAAGTTGCACAGCAGGTGTCCGATTCTCTTTGATTCATTCTATTTGCCCCTTTTATTGTAAATATTTTTATATCAATTATTCACATCGTCATTTAATCAATTTATACAGGTGGTGCATACGTACCGTCAATGGCTGACGAAAATGTAATCGTCGGCAAGGAGGGAACCATTTTTTTGGCTGGTCCACCTTTAGTAAAAGCTTCGACGGGCGAAGAAGTCACTGCGGACGAATTGGGTGGCGCGGATCTTCATTGTCGGTAATTGACAAAATACATTTTTAACTCGTCATTTCTTTCACTATTTGAAAAGATTGGAAAATTGATTTTCAGGATTTCCGGAGTTACCGATCATTACGCTGTAGATGATATTCACGCCTTGTTCTTAACCCGGCAAATTGTAAAGGATTTAAACAGGCAAAGATCGATGCACGTTAACGTGAATAAAAATGTGGATATACCGTTACATCCTGTCGACGAAATTTATGGAATAGTCGGGTTGAATTGGAAGCAATCGTACGACGTGAGAGAAGTGATCGCAAGGATCGTCGACGGATCAAAGTTTCGCGAGTTCAAAGCACAATATGGGGAAACATTGGTCACAGGATTCGCGAATATTTACGGTTACCCCGTGGGAATAATCGCGAATAACGGTATACTGTTCTCGCAAGGCGCGTTAAAGGGTGCACATTTCGTGCAAATCTGCGCACAAAGGAAAATACCACTTATCTTTTTGCAGAATATTACAGGTATATAATATCTCTCGTTGTATAAAATTGCAGCTTTCCCACGAACGATGCGTACAGCGATTTGTAAAAAAATTGCAGGATTTATGGTGGGCAAAGATGCCGAAGCCGGAGGCATTGCCAAAAACGGTGCAAAAATGGTGACTGCCGTTGCTTGTGCCCAAGTACCTAAAATTACAGTGGTAATCGGTGGCTCGTTCGGTGCAGGAAATTACGGTATGCAACGTTACACTTAATAAATCACTGTTCGAACACTTACGTTCAATTTGATTAAAATTTAACGTAGGTATGTGCGGTCGAGCTTATTCACCGAGGTTTCTCTATACCTGGCCAAATGCCAGAATATCCGTGATGGGTGGAGAACAGGCTGCCAATGTACTGATTCAAATTAACAAGGATCAACGTAAACGCGAGGGGAAGCAGGTAATGACAGATCACGATTTCGATCTCGATTTCATTTAAACCGGTACATATAAATTTTCACTCGACTCTTCATAGTGGAGCGTGGAAGAGGAGGAAAAATTGAGGGAACCGATATTGAGGAAATTCGAAGAGGAGAGCAATCCATATTATTGTAGCGCTAGGTAGAATCTATCTATTATTATTAGACTAAGAGACTAGGAAAAGTTATCCGCGTAAATTATTTTTTTAGGCTTTGGGACGACGGTGTGATCGATCCCGTTGACACTAGGGTAGTATTGGGTCTCAGTTTGTCAGCGGCGCTCAACGCACCTATACCGGAAACTAAATTTGGAATTTTCCGAATGTAACAACGAATATCACAATCTACAATCTGGAAATCCGTGAAATTATGAAAGAGCGATCCAATGTTCGTTCCGCGAACGTTATTCCGACGTTCTGTCCGATATTTTACGCCAAAGACGTGTAAATATATATTTTTTTATACATTATTCTATCACTTATACACTATTACTGAACATTCCAAATATATATATATATATATATATAGATACCTTTGTATTGTTTCTATGCGTACTTTTATTAATCTTCTCTTTTCTTCCTTTATGCGACTAAAAAATAAAGACGCTTCTCTGAATGAAACGCTTACGCGCGTTTCCACTCGTCCTTTTACGGTATTATTTTTTTACATATTCGCGTATATTCCCTTATAATTATATTGAGATTACAGCAGCAATTAATTCACTTATAATTGTCTAAAAGTTAAGTCACATCACGTTGTTACAGCTCGTCGCGCGACTAGGTCATCCGACATTCTCCGCTCGCAAAGGCCAATTTTTTTTCTGGCAGTATAGCGGCTGTATTATTTTATTCGCGGTTATTCGCAGGGGAACACAGCTGAAGGGGAACGCGTGGAACAATGCGTGGATTAATAAAAGGAGTGAAAAAAATTTGGCGGTCGCAGAGCGGAGAAATTTCTTGAGC